GCACGTATCGTTGCTGTAATACCCAGCCGGAAAGGAAGAGGGCGAGTGTGAAGAGAAGAACTACCGGCGGCTGTCAGCGAATGCGAGTGCGTGCCCGTCGTGGGCCATGCGTACCAATGGCTGCCGACAGGATGACAGAAACCTGGCTCGAAGTAAGGAGAAGTCTCCCCATAACTACAAGTAAACGCTGGATGCGAAGGGTATAAGAATGCTATGATGGTTCAAAAGTGTGCATGTAGAATGGCAAGAGTAGTTCGTGCAGGAGAGCGCATGCAGTGGGCGGGTGTGACGTGCCCCGTGGATCTAGATTTCGTAGGGCTGCATGTTGATCGCTGGTGTTGAGCAGGCAACTATCGATTGCTGGCAGCACCCCGGCTCAAATTATCGCAACCATCAACGCGAGCTTCCTCCGCAGCACCATCGAACTACCAAACCACCAAACCGCACAATACTGCACGCGCATTTCCGAAGATATCCAAGGGCCATTCGACCTCAAACTAGCCACGAAACGACTGTTCGGCATCCCCACATGGCCAAACCGCAGTTCGACCGCGCAGACGCCAGCGCGCTCCTCGACGACCGAGGCTATCGCGGAGCCCTCATCAGAGGGCAGAACCCGGCGCTGCTCTTCGAAAAGGGTGTACGCGAGCGCATTACCGAGTCCTATTACTGGAAAGAGCAATGTTTCGGTCTGAACGCTGCGACCTTGTGCGACCGCGCAGCCGACCTCAAGTTCATCGGTGGCACGACTGGCATTACGGGCAAGCCTACACCATTCTTGTGTCTAGCGTTCAAGATGCTGCAACTAGTTCCGGACAAGGAGATTATCCTTGAATACCTTAACTTTCGCGACGACGAGGAAGATGGAGCACAGGACGGCGAGGCCAAGAAGGAGGAAAACGGCCACACATCCGAGGACGAAGACACAACCAAGAAGGCGCTCGATCTAAACGCTGCAGGCAAACTCGGCGACTTCAAATACCTGCGCTGCCTCGCTGCCTTCTACATTCGCCTTGCCTGGGAGCCCGTCGAAATCTACAAAACCCTCGAACCCCTCCTCACCGATTACCGCAAGATAAAACGACGCCTCAAAGATGCCTTTACCCTCACGTACGTCGATCAGTTCATCGATGACCTCCTCACAAAAGACCGCATGTGCGCGACGAGTCTGTGGAAGTTGCCGTCGCGGGCGAACTTGGAGGACTTGGATATGTTAGAGCCGAGGGAGAGTCCGTTGGGTGACGAAATCGATGAGCTGGATGAGGAACTAGACAGAAGGAGTGATGGAAGTGCGCGGAGCTACAGAAGCAGGAGCTATGACAGCAGGAGCAGGAGTCGGAGCTACGACAGTCGCAGTCGTAGTCGCAGCCGCAGCAGAAGCCGAAGTCGAAGCTACGATAGTCGTGATCGCGAGAGGAGTCGCAGCCCAGGCGAGCGGAGCCGGTCACGGAGCAGGACACGTAGTAGGAGTGGGAGTCGCAGGCGCGATTAGAGTCGCAAGGACAGCGTGATGCTAGCATGTAAGGCTGCGCATCGGATTTAGCTTTATACCCATCTATGTAATGAAGCGTTCAGTTACTATTTCCATCGTCGCATGAACACCACTCGATCCTGCGTTGCAAGTCGCACACGATGCCACCACTCCCAAGGCACGTGCAAGGTTCGGCAAGCTCTCTGATAGCATTATACTAGTTAAAGCGGCGGCCTTAAGCCTTAGTTTGTGTCACACTTTATACAGATTAAATTTTCTTCTATATAACTACTAGGAAAGCTACTGACTTAGTTATCTTAATAAGTTAGGGTTCCATTTTGCCGCACCATGAGAGCGCTTCCGACCCCAGCCACAGCAAGATACCTAGGTATACGCAACGCTCACCCACCACGTCGCTGCCACGCAGTCTCCCAACTGATACTGCACAAAGGCGCCCAAGTCAGCTGCAGGTTCCCTCCCTATAATTCGAACCCTCATAAACTTTACGATCGAGAAAAGAGGAAGGAACACAACCCCTCCAGCAAACGAGAGCACAGTCCACGATGGAGCCCTGGACGCCTTCTCATTGAACAGCCTTCGCCATGGGAAACAGGAGAAGACGAAGCTGCTTATTATCCACCCCGCACCAGCGACAGTGAATACTGCGAATGGCGCCTGGATGCACTTCAAACATTGTTCTCCAATGCTATCTTCTAGCACGCGTCGAGGCCGGACTTGAAGTGCTCGGCAAAGCTTCCTGAGGAACAGCGGATAGCAAAGTCTTGCCAGCGCCACAGGGAGGGCAACACCAGCAACATTCGCCATTGAGAGCCCATGTTCAGAGCCCGATACCACGAAAGTCATTCTGGTGAGCAGTGAAAGTGCACTCAAGTTAACTCCAACATTGACTTGCTTGCTCATCCTCAGAGCACTGGGAAGAGATAGCACGATAGAGATCCACACCCTCTGAGGGTGAGCAAGCGCTCGAGACAAGATCCATCCCACGGCAACCGATATGTATGGCCAAACAGATGTCTGTCCCTCTTGTAAGGCAGGTTCTCCGAAGGCCAGAACGAGGTGTTCCAGTAATGGCAATGTCTTGTCACCTTCACCCTCTTTCTCTTTCTTGCCAAAAATTTCCGTGAGGTTGTAGATGTATAGCAAAAGGTGTATGACCACCAGTAAATTTTGAAGGTCTTTCTTTTGTCGTGAAGTTTGTCGTCGCACGAAGAAAGGGGAGCCAACTAGGATGATTGGGATTGCTGGCCCTGGGATGCGTAATCGACCGAGTGCCACTGAAGGGTAAAGAGATGGATCGTCGCTCGCCATGTTGGGGAGACTAGGAACACTGGAGCACGAGTTTCTTCTATATTGCGCCTTTCCCAGGCAGCAGTCGGTCTTGTGTCCGCGCGACTTCCGACGGTGTCCGGGTGGAGTATTCTTAAATGCCGTTTATCCCATGTATCAACAGTACTGCCGAGCTTTTTTCTTTCTACATAGGCAATAGGGAACTTGCGCCAAGGAGTTCAAATTGTTGCCGCCATTGCCGTCTTGGCCTGCCGAGGTATACTGAGCTTGACGGTCCGAGCGGCCCAACGGCTCAACAGTGCCAGCGATCCTGCGTTGCGAGTCGCACACGATGCCACTACCTGTAAGCTCCGATAGCATCATACTAGGCCTGCACGTTGAAGCAACTTCGACACCACCGAGCGCAGCTGCCACCACTTGTACTCCATCATCACCATGCCTGACTCTGCACCCCAACCCTCCACCCTCCTTACTCTTCCTCGAGAATTGCGCGATTTGATACATTCGTACCTGCAAGCTGAAGGAGAATCTGACTGGTGTGAAACCAGTCTTTTCCCTACATTCTGTCTCCTGTACCGCGTCCACAACGCACCGACTCTCGCGCTACTTCATGCTCATCCTCGTCTGCGAGAAGAGTCTCTTGAAATCACTGAGAAACAAGGAGTTTCTGTCACGCTTTGCGATCGAGACCGCCTACGACCCTGCCATGTAAATACACCATATCAATCACGACCCAGTCGCAAGCGTCGCACGCTACCTTTAGACACACTCTTCACCCATTACATCAGGCACGTCGCGATTCTCGTCCCCAACAGCCATGAAGACCTGAATGAGTGGACGTGGAACACTACGCGGCGTCTTGTCTCCGTGCTGGCACCGAAAACTCCATTACTAGCAACCATCCGAATCGAGTATCAATACCGCTCCCAAACTTTACTACAACATCACCACAATACCTTTGCACGGTTTGATATGTCTCCATATATGCTCGTGCCACCGCCCTGTCTAGACACGTTGCAGCTCGTACAGCGGGTCGAAGGGTACCGTCTCGAGCAGGAACCGAGTTTCGAAGATGAGCATCGGAGTCAGCGACGTCAGCGGCGTCATCACAGGTGTCTAAAATATGGCTGCTACTTATTCAGCAAGGCTGGAGTAGACTACATGTCTCATCTTTGGAAGCCTGAAGATATTGATGGACGGCTGTGGGCAGAGCCGTATGATGTGGATGATTGGAGAACGCCACTACCGGCTTGGGTGGTCAATCACAAACTGAAGGACTGGAGGGAAAAGCGTGGCCACGAGGAAGCTGTGGCTTGGTTCTGAGATCGCTTCGACGATAAAAGAGTGTCACAAATTAACATGTGTGTTGTCATAATACCTACGAAATGCCTCCCTTTGCTCTTGAAACTCTTTCCTAGCCCATGTATTCTTCAACGCCCGACAGCCCTTGACTAACTGAGATCTTGAGATCTGCGCATCGCTCCGAGCATGCATTAGACTCCTGGTGCTATCGGGTAAGATACTGTTCACATTGACGTCACCTCTCCATTCGGTTGTCACTCCCGTTCCGATTCCCTTTCACCGTTTCGGATGATTGAACAACTGTCCTTACATGGATTGCTATAAATCCAACAGTCTGGGCAACATGTCGGGGATAAAGAGTCAGTCGCATCATCCCATCAATATGCCCCACATTCACCTTCCCGACAGGACGGCGCATATGAAGAGCAACATCAACGACTTGGCGCTGCCCACCGGCAGTCGCGCGCTGGAACCATTGTCATCTGCGAATCGGATACATCGATGCGAGAAGTTCTCAACGGATTTTCTAGAGCGGCATGTATCTGTCTCGGTGGAACATACTCCTCCAAAACCCACTACGAACCATTCCCATCGCAGTACATCAACACTGAGACATTCTAATTACCAGATCAGACACAGATATCTACAACAACATGAAGTTACATTTGCTCCTTTTCCAAGTTGTCGCGGTGCAAGCTGCGATCCGCTTTGGTTGCAGCAGTGTTTCTATCCAGCGCCTGGACCCGTTAGTCGAGCCTGGTCGTGTACCCTCGTCTCATGTTAGTGTCATGATCGTAGTGGTGACCATATACTAACACAACTGCAAAGGTACACCAGATCGTCGGTAGGCTGGACTTACGATACAGCCTCTGGTTCTCTTATTGACGTTTCCGCAGGCGGTAATGCTTTCAACGCTACGATGGCCGGTGATATTGGGGAACAGGGCAGCTGCACAACATGCGCATACACTGAAGGTACGACATGCGTTCCTCACTCCAGTCTCTTTACAATCGCTGACATTGAATGTAGACTTTTCCAACTACTGGACCGCGGCGATGTACTTCAAACACCAAAACGGCTCATACAAACGCGTCCCAATCTATCCAAACGCTCAGCTAGGTATTCCGACGACATCGCCTACACTGGAGCACATTGAAAGGCTAAACCTTATCAGGATTCGATGGTCAAGACGCGGACCACATCAAGGGAGGTATGACGGTATACTACACCCAGAAAGACTTCGAAAGCTCAGACCTCGACAATCCCGTGAGAGCCTTTCCGCCGGTGAGTGATACTATCCAGGCCCTCGGTGGAACAAGCGATTAATTGGGTCAAGGGCTTCCGCATGACCGTTGGTAACCCGTCAACAAACACACTCAACGGCACAAAGAAGGGCCTGGCATATACGTGCTTGCAAACCATCCTCACTAGAGGTTATGAGACTCCTGACTTCCCGAAAGAGCCCTGCCCTGCAGGTATCATGGCGATCCAGGTAAGCAATGATCCTTAGCAGACATTATGATCAGGGTACTGACAGCATGGCAGTAAGTCTTCCTGCGATGTTAGCATACTCTTGCAAACAGGTGCTACGCACTTGCGGGCAACGCGTATCTTCCCAAGAGAAACTCATTCCTTTTTCCACGAAACCTACTAATTGCGTCTTTCATGTGTAGCCATTTTCCCTCTTGCTGGAACGGAGTCGACCTTGACTCTCCCGACCGTCAGTAATCTCCCTGTGCGAACTGTCTGTGAGATAAAAACTGACTTCGTACGCCAATCTTTAGATCAATCCCACATGTTCTCGACGACACGAGGCGGCTTCCGCCCGGCGGACCCGTGTCCTGCATCGCATCCCATCAAGATGCCTCAGCTAGCATACGAAACAATGTGGAATACAACTGCCTTCGCCGACATGTGGCCAACCGATGGTTCGCAGCCGTTTGTGTGGAGTTATTCCGATAGCAAGGGCTACGGTACTCATGCTGACTACGTGTTTGGGTGGAAGGGGGACAGCTTGCAGCGGGTGATGAACGATAGTTGCATGTTCCATAATTGTGGAAGTCCGGGTATTCAGGGTGTGCTGAAGACTCAGACTGTGGAGGAGATGAACGCTTGCGCGGTTGATAGCTCCGTCGACGAAGAGGTGGATGGGTGGCTCGATCATCTGCCGGGGTACGAGATGGAAGCCTAGCTCGGTACCTGTTGATGGAGGTCTGGTCTTTTGCATATATAGTGGCCGGGCTCAGAACGGGGATGTCGCAGGCACGGCGTGTCTGGTTCGTGTTCATAGATTGCAGCTCGTTCGCGGGTTCTTGGGCGATCAGCTAAGATAACACGCTAAACTCGATTTGAACAAGCTTGCACGCGTCTCCTCCAGCTGTCTCCGCATCGCGCCTTTTCCCATCGCTCCGACACTGTATTCAAGCTGCCCGGCTTTATGATCTGCTATGTTCTGAGCCGTGACTAAGTCACAACGGTGTCGAAGCGCCCGGCTAAAATTCTGTGGAAACATCCTCATCGCCTACCTAGGTACCATACCTCACATGCTCTTTTCCTTAATTAACAACGTGTCCGCTCGACGATCATCACCCACGATTGGTGATAGGTGCCAGTCATTTCGACCACCTGGGCATCGTCGTACCAACTGCTACCGGCAGATAACAAGTCCAAACCAAGGCAGATCGAAGTCTGATGCATACGGCTGATCGAAAGCACCACCCCTGGCTCGGTAGTGAACAGCCGGCACAGCAGTATCGGACATATTGACGAAGATGCACCCCAGTCTTGGCAGAGTATGTTTCTTGCTGGGAGAGGCAGGTCAGTCCTTGGCAGACGCTGCTGTCAGTGAGCCCGAGGCGATCTCGCAACAATGGCTGATTAATGAGAAACTGGCGCGAAGAATCACGCGCACTTGATATCAAGACTCCCATACTAGGCCCTTACATGTAAAGTAGGTATATTATAGATACAGACCGCCGGCAATGGTGGCCAGATACGTTGTCCTATCTACTCATCAGCTCCAGCATCATGGTCTCTTTTGCGGTCTTCGCCGCCGCCGTGCTAGGCAGTCTGCGTCTTGCTCTCACTGCACCGAGCGGTGTTGCCTCACTTGTCAATCATGAAACAGTCGGGAAGCAGCTCGAAGCCCGTCAAGGTGGCTACTATTCCTTTTGGTCCGAAGGAGGTGGCTCGTTCCGGTGCAGCCAACAAGGCGGCGGAAAGTACACGTGCAACTGGTCAGGACAGCCTGGTGGTGGTTTCGTCGCTGGTACGGGATTCAAGCCTGGGGGTTCGAGGTAAAGGCAGCAACGGCTTCAAGGCGATTTCCAGAACTGTACTAATGAATCGTACTAGGACAGTCAAATACTCGGGTACATACGAAGCCAAGGGCCCCGGTTACCTCGCCCTCTATGGCTGGACGCGCAATCCCCTCATCGAATACTACATCATCGAGTCTTACGATATCCTTGCCCCAGGTGAGCCTTGGACGCGCAAAGGCAACTTCACTTTTGAAGAAGGCACCTACGATCTATACACTAGCCAGCGCGTAAACAAACCGTCTATTGAGGGGACTCGTACCTTTACACAGTTCTGGTCGGTGAGAACGGAGAAAAGGGTTGGCGGTACAATCACTACGCAGAAGCATTTTGACGCGTGGAACAAGGCTGGGATGAGGTTGGGCGGTCACGACTATATGATTCTCTGTACGGAGGGATTTGCGAACGGGACGCTGCTGCCAAGTGGAAGTAGCAGCATCACTGTAACTTAGTTGGTGGGAATTGGCTCTTGGCTAGCTCCGACTTGTGGAGCTGTAGAACATGAACGCATTCTAATAGTCTCAATCGTGCGTATGTATGTCATGGGGGTGTCATCTTTCGGGGTAGAGGGGAACCTAGACAGATCGCTTGATTCATATGACGAACGCGCAGCAAGATAAGTGATTCCTTTACGCTTCTCTTCTTCTATCCACGCTCGCAGGCCAGGAATGACTCCAATGATCCGTAGGAATCACCACGAATATAATGTCTAGATAGCTCGCTGTATCATCAGTGGGTATACATACTGAATCACCAACCTGTGCGCCTGGCTACACTTGGTTGTGGAAGAAAGACCCTGGATTGCGCTGCTCGGATCGTGAGATGTTCGGGACCGTATCCATAAGGGAACGAGGGGCAAAGTGGAGCCAATTGCTGTCGCCATGCATACGCTATGATCCTTCGTGCTCGGGAGCCGGCCGCAATGCGACACTGTCACGTCAACCTAGGGAAAAAATGTACGGCGTAGAGCCTACATTACCACCAACTTTTCTAGATTGCTCGCGATATCCTGATGTAGTCTGCGGAGCAAGTCAATTTTTCCTCTTGCATGTGGTAACTCTCCGCGACCAGAGGTGTTGCCTAGCCCGTGGCCCATGCATAAAGTGGAAGGATGCGCGCCATGGAGTTACAAAGGTGCCGTTGAGGGGCGGCGCGACTAGCGAACGCACATGCCCTGGGCCACACCACCACCGATTGTGAGGGTTGAGAGAACCGCACTCGTAGTGTACATGATACCATGACTGTTTGCACGTACACAGTCACGAACATTTAAGCCTGCTGGATTTGGGAGAGAGATCCCATGCCGGGACGACTACGTATATACTGATGGCTCCGAGACGGTAGGCCGGCATCGAGGTATACGACGGGGCGTATTCGCCTGTCAGCAACCGCGCCCAAGGGGTAGATAAGAACAACGAAGACTCCTTCGACGCGCCCTCTTGCAAAGCCTCTTTCGCATCCAGAACACTCCTCTCATCCGCTCGTTTCTACGCGCATCATGGCAGGCACAGTCCTAATCACCGGCGCGAACGGTTCGCTAGCTTTACCATCAGTCAAGTACCTGTTGGAAGCATACCCATCCTTCAACCTGGTTCTTACCGTCCGAGACAATTCAGAGAAAGATGCAAACACGCTAAAACTTCGTCGACTTGTAGCCCAGCACCCCGACGGACAAGTGTCTATAAGAAAGCTCGATCTCTCCTCACTGGAAAACGTTCGGGTATTCAGCAGAGCGCTCCTTGTTGAGATTGAGGACAAGCAGCTTCCACCCATCCGGTCGATTATCTGCAATGCGATGACATGGAATTTGTCCGGCGGGCCGAAATATTCGAAAGACGGATACGAAATGTCGATTGCGGTCAATCATCTTGCACATTTTGCTTTGTGTTGCAGGCTCATGAGTGCCATGGACCCAGTTCATGGCCGTATCGTCTTTTCGGGCAGCGGCGCACATCGACCGGAGGAAGCAAGCCTCGTCAAGGGATATCCAACTCATATCCCAAACGATTTGGAACTATTGGTTCATCCAGAACCTGATAAGGAAGGCGAAGAGTTGGGACGAGGCTTCCAAAGATATGCTGTGAGCAAGTTGGTCTCCATCATGGTGATGTACGAGCTCAATCGTCGCCTGAAAGTAGTAAGTCTCCCGTTGTCGAAGACCCTGCTTGGCTTGCAGCCTAACTGTTTCATCAGAAGAAAGATGTAGAGTCCATCCGCGCGGTTGCGGTGGATCCTCTGGATCTGATTACATCGCGGGCATTCCACCAGCCGCACGTTCCGCGAACAATTCAGATCATGGCTACGGTCGTGACTTGGTTGTTGCCGTTGATTGGCTACTTCCAGCCTCGATTGGTGACCGTCGAGCAAGCTGCAATCGCCTTCGTAGATGTGGCAGTAGCCGACAGATTTGATGGGCAGGAGGGGTACTTCGAAGGGAAGAACAGAGTCGAGAGCTCACAGGACAGTTTAGATGTGGATATACAACAAGCATTGTGGTTCAGGAGCGTCGAATGGTGTGGGCTGGACAGAGAGGATGTGCCGATGGGGTTGTAAAGGAGAGGTTGAGTTGTCAGGGACGTCTGTGGGCGCTCTTAGTGCCAGTGGGCGCGATCGCCGGAAGCTGGGGAAGCCTCGATCGCAGCTCCACCAACCTCTCGAATCCCTCATCATGACTTAGTAACGATGCGCACCATGTGCGCGAAGCGATAAACGCTCTAAAACAGATTCGCAGTTTTACCCTCCCATGACTGTACGCGTCTTCATGTCTCTAATATCGGCCCGCAGAGTCGAGCGCGTATAAGCACCACCCGAGACACCGCTACGACGCGTGGCCTCAGCCGAACCTCAGCGCCATGTCCAACGGGTACGCAGCCACTGCAACACGACGCCATACACCACGTCGATTGTGGCACAGCCGAGTGTCTAAACTGGACTTGCAGACGAACCGACCCACAAAGCCCGGCACAACACATTCACAGCCAAGCTCTCAGCTGCCGCTTGGCAAAGCTTGTTCCTTGATTTTGTGAGGGATTTATTGGCGCCACAAAGCTTAGTTGAGCTTAGCCACGCAATCAGTGCATGCACCTCGCAAGGGTTGGCATGCTCTAATGCAGATTGTTACGACAAACGTCTACGTGACACCAATCAGAACCAATGAGACATGACCGTGAGCAAGCTGAGCCACCCCAGCCGC